TGGAGTAGGAGATGAGAAATTACTCAGTATCTCTGCCAAGAAAACCCCAAATGGGGTCAGGAAGAGTTGGGACTGAGAAGCAACTGAACAACAACAAAAATGTGTAAGGAGACTAGAAAGAAGGAAGAGGCCAAGTTGTTGAGATATTTATATGTCAAATAGAGAAGTTTATATTTGATCTTACATGCAGCAGGGAACCACTGGAGTTTACTGAGCTGAGGGTGACATGCGCAGACCTGTACTTTTAGGGAATTCACTTCGGGGAATAAAATGATTTACCTAAGGTCACACAGATGGTAAATAACACGAATGGGATTTGAATCCAGGTCCTGTGAGTCCAATGCCATTGCTTATCCCACTGTACAATGCGACCCCGTGTCTCATGTAAGTTATTGTTAGTAGTAGGTTTGGGTAGCTCCAAGGTCCTGCTATGCCCTCCCTCCCTTGGTCCCTCCCAGCCTGGCCTTCCTTCCCCGACCCACCAGTTGGTGGGCTATAAACTCCCCATGCCATAAACCTCTTTTATTAGCCAGAGCCAGACAGAAGATGAACCTGTGGGGGGCCGGGCTGGGATCATAAAACCCGGGCTAAGGTTTCTTAGTCTGTAAAATAAGGGGGTTGGACAGGATAAGATAGAGCACAGTAAGATAAATAGGGTGCGATGGTAGTCAGGCTCGACTTTGCAGCTGCCAAACGGACATTCCCAAAGCGCGGCTCTGACTGGGTCCCACTCCTGCTCAGGAAGCCTCAGTGGCTCCCCACGGCCTTGAAGACAAAGCACAAACTCCCCTGGCATTTCACTCTTCACAATCTGGCGCCAGTTTTTCTCTCTAGGCCGATGACACAGAACTTCGCCTGACATGCTTCACACTTCAGTCCAGTTGGCCTAGATGGTGCTCCTCCCAATGCATTCCATCTCCTCGTCTTTGTGCAGGGTCCTTCAGGTCCCAAATGTTCTCCTTCCTTACCTCCGGGATTGCTGCCTGGCTCCCTTCCAGTTTCAGCTCAAGAACCACCCCAGCCATAGTGAACTTATCTCGTCCATGTCCTATAGGGTCTGATCTGGGCATCGTTGCTTATCTCTTAGTATATTTTGTCCCTCTGGTAGAAGGGAAGCCCTATGAGGGCAGGGACTGCCTCACTATGGATTTGTCATCACTGGTCTATAGCACATAGTAGGCACTTTACTAAATGTTTGCTGATTGCCTAGATAGTCAGCAGCTCTGACTCACCTGGGTCATTCTTGCCCGATGTTTCCATGGAGACATTCCACCGTGTAGTAGGAACAGCCAGCGTTTACATAGTGCATTATGGGCTGCAAAGCACCTTACAAATATTCTCTTCTTTGATCCTCACAACCCTGGGGAGTAGGTGCTGCTGTTATTCCCATTTTACAGATGACGAAACTGAGGCTGAAGAAAGGAAACACTCGCCTATGTGCCAAACACTTACAAATACTCTTTCATTTGATCCTTGTGATAGACCTGGCGAGGTGGGTGCTATTATTGTGCCTGTTATACAATTGAGGAAAACTGAGACAGACAGAGGGTAGGTGACCTGCCCAGGGACACACAGCTAGGCAGTATCTGAGGAAGGATTCAAACTCAGGTCCTCCTGACTCCAAGCCAATCACTGAATCCAAGGCAACTCCTCACATCCATTGATACTCTGCTAGGACTCTTCCCTCACGGTCAGCATCCATCCATCCCCTTTTCCTATCCCCTTCCCAGTGATACTAAAGGGCACTTGCAAAAGAATACTCCCTCCAGCCCCCCACTTCAGCTGCCTACTCCTCCGACTTTCTTCAGCCTCAAGCCTGTCTCTGACTGTTCCCTTCTACATCCGCCCACCCCTTCCCGAGTGCCCTCGAGAACTCCCGCTGTCATGAACAAACTTTCATTTTTGCTGTCTTGTTCTCTTGCTCCTTCTTCCATGGGCACTCACTAAGCCCTGGCTCTCTTTGGGCCAATGCTGCCTTCATGGCCTTCCTGTCCAGTACTGACTGCACCTTCTCTCGTACCCCTTTCCCCGTCACTCTCCTTGCTCCCCATTGCCTCTCTCTCAACAACCTCATTTACTCTGGGATTCATTCTGCCCAAAATGATCTCCCCGTCCAGATCCTACCGCCTCTGTGCTACCACCTCTGGGGCATTCTTCCTTCTTTCTCAATGAGCTCAATGCCTGGCCCATGGACTTTCTTGCCACTTCAACTCCTGCCCTCATAGTAGGGAACTTCAAAATCCCTGTGGGTGTTCCCTCAAGCATCCTAACTTCTCAATCCGCTCAGCTCCCTTGATCCACTGCTCATGATCTAGTCTCACAGCTGGTCATCTCCTTGATCTTGCCATCAACCTCCACGGATGGCACATTACACCTCCATGTTTAAGAACTCTACCCACTCTGCAGCTTTCATGTCTCCCATCTCTCCTGTCTCCTCTTAAACCTCACCTTCATTCCCCCTCCAATTCTTCCACCTTTAGTCCAGCTCTGGCTACGCTCACCTCCCTTCCCAAGCTTGATACTCTCGAATCCCTCGCCTCTTTGTCCCCGTTGCCACTTACATCTTGCCAAACCCTGATCCTGAATTATTCCCACGATCCACTTCCTTCACTCCTCCTCATGGGATGCTGAAAGGAGCCAGAGGAATCACCAAACTTTGCTGACTGGGTCCACTACGAATTTATATTCTAATTTCAACGGGGTTCTTGTTGCATCAGGCAATCCTCCTGCTTCTTCCCAGCGGATTCTCTTCCCCAGTCCCCACAGTGGCTGATCTAAACTTGCTATTCTTTTCGTCTTCCCTGGTACCCCAGCCCCCATCCCCCATCCCCTCAGCTCAGGATTTTGCTTCACTCTTCACACAAAACTGAGGCCATTTTCTCTTCCCTTCTCATCTCTCCCTGACATCATTCTCCACTGTCCTCCTTTACTTAAGTCTCACATTAACAGGTGGCTCATCTTCCTGCCAAGGTCACCCCTTGATCCTATCCCTTCCCTTCTTCAGATTTCCCCCACTTCCAGCCTCCTACCGCCAACCTTCGGTATCTCCTTTCCTACTGGTTCCTTCCCTGCTAACCTGCAAACATGACCAAATCTCCCCCAACCTTTAAAAAAACTTCACTAGGATTTATCATCTTCACTAGCTATCACCCATTTCTTTTCTCCCCTTACCTAACCTCCTTGGAAAAGCCTGTATTTGGTGCCTCCACTTTCTCTTCTCACATCTCTGCAATGGGCCTTAATTCACCTGAAACCACTTTCTGCCAAGTTAACAATGATCTCTTAGCAGCCAAAGTCATTAAATCATGCCTTTTCTCAATTCTTAGCCTTCTTGGCCTCTGTGCAGTCTTGGACATGGTTGAACACCATCTCCACTTTCTCCTCTCTGGGTTTTCACCACACTGCTCTCCCCTGGACCTTCTCTTATCTTCCTGAGAGCTCCTCAGTCTTCTTTACTGGATCTTCATCCACATCATGTCCACTAACTGTGGATATCCCTCAAGGCCCTAGGCTAGGTCGTCTTCTTTTTTTTCTCAATGTGGAAGACTCCCGGTGTCACCAACTGGCTATTGGACATTTTGAATTGGATATATGCTAGGCCTTACAAATTCAACACGTCCAAAACAAAATTCATTTCCTCTCCTCTCCCTTAACCCCACCCCTATTTGCAACTTCTGCTTCTTAAATTTCTATACATTTCTTTTGTTAAATATTTCTCAATTACATGTAAAAATGTTCTAAATATTCACTTTTTAAATTTGGAGTGACAAATTCTCTCCCTCCCACCCCTCAAGAGGGCAAGCAATATGAGATTATTTATACATGACACCCTGCCAGTCACCCAGGTGCACCATCTCACTGTCCTTGACTCACTCACCCAACATCAGTTGACAAATCTTGTCATTTCTGTCTCCACAAAATCTCATATACATGCCCTTTTCTCCACTCATATATCTCAGGGCCTCATTACCTCTTACCTGGTCCATCAGACTCCCCTTTTAACTGGTCTCCGTGCCTGCTTATCGAAGGTTCTTTCCAACTCTTAGCATACACTGATTCTGTAATTATGGTATACTGGATATGCCACTGGACTTGAGTCAGTAAGGACCGAGTTCAAATTCCACATCTGATACTGAACCCAAGCCTTGGTTTCCCCATCTGTAAAATGAAGGGTTTTGGATGTGATGCTCTCCAAGGTTTCTTTGAGCTCTAAATCTACAAACCTATGAACCTAAAAGGTCTGAGATAAATGACTTGAATTACTGATGCTTGTGTTCTCCTCCATAAACGCTGAAATGCAGAGGACAGAGTGCTCCCTAAGCTGCCTCAGCAGGCCCTACCACATTAGAAGAGGTAACATACCGGGGTGGGGAGGGTAGGGGTGTAAGTGCTGCCAGCCAGCTCCTAGGGGCTGGCTTTTGAGGCAACATCACCCTTTCTCACACCTCTACCTTCCCATCGCTTGGACAAGGGCTGAGGATGGGATTGGTCAACAGCCTAGGCGTCAGAGAGCCTGAATAGCCAGGTCCGAGGATGACTCACAGCCTGGAGATCAGGCCATGGCCTCTGTGCCTTGGGGTCTCCAGCTGCTGAGATGATACTCACCACCCACTGTGCTAACAGTTAATAGAGGTGAGATACTTTGAACTCCCCAGATGAAAGGAGCCAGGGAAGGAGGTACCCAGTTATTATCCCCTGCAGAGTAGGGGTGTGGGGATGCTCTGGGGAAACCCACACCACTCCAACCTCAGTGGCCATCTTGTGGCCCCTCTTTCTTCTGCTCTGGCCATCCCAGACCCCTCTAAGAGCCCCCCACTTCCACTCCCAACTACTATAAACCCTCCTGAAAAACCCCCTAGAGGCCACTTCCTCCTCAAGCATGCCTCCCCAAAGAATACCAAGAGGATTCCCCCCCCACCCAGCCTTTCGCATTTCAACAATTACTTCTCTGGCTTCCTTGGGTATGGCTTCCCTACCAGAAGGCCCAGAGGTTCTGCATGGCAAGTACCAGGTCTGTTCTTTAATACACTAGGAGATGGTTCAGAGACTTTAGGCAAGTAAAATAAAGGCTTAAATCACCAAATCATAGCCACACCTTGTAGGTCAGTCAATGAGCATTTATGGAACACTTACTATGTACCAGCTGCTGTGTCATGCTCCAAGGATACAGAGAAAGGCAAGGAACATCCCTGCCCTCCAGGAGCTCACACGTTTTACAGATGAAGAGGTCAGAGAATGGGAGGAACCTGCCTAACTCGGCAATGGCCGAACTGGAGCCTGAATCCAGCTGTTCTGACTCCTGTTACTCAACTAAACCCCTTTCCCACACCTTCTCCACCATCCAAGGACTCCCTCTGTCCCAAGTCACCAGCTGGTGTCAATCAAGTGGTCATGGGCTGCCCCCTACTGGCCAGCACCATGAACAGCGCCTCTGCCCCTGCCCTTGTTCCCCAGATGGTGGACATGATTGAGCCACCCAATGACTTTGAGAGATACAAGACCCTGGAACTGAAGGAGGGAGGAAGCCCAGAGAGGCTTTTTCAGCTCTGATCGAAGCATTCAGGGCTAGAACTGCCCTGGGGCAATTGGTTTCAAGCTGGAAGCATCCTTAGAGGTCATTCAGTCCAACTGCTTAATTTTAGAGATGATGAAACTGAGGTGGACAGGGGAAGCAACTTGCTGACACAGAGTCAGTGGCAAAGTCTGAATTCCAAGCCAGGTCTTCTGATTATGAATCTTGATCACGCAGCCTCGCACTGCAGAGATCCTGAACAAAGACAGAGATTCAAAGACCCACAGAATACTAGGACTTCAGAGTCAGAGTGTTAGAAGAGGAAAGTAAGTCCAGAGGGAAGTGACTTGCCCAAGGTTATTAACATTCCTCCTTGTTCCTGAGTGTGACAAGAGTCGACGCTTCTCTCTGAGGTTCGGCTTCCCCATCTGTAGGAGGGGCATGCTATGTGGTGCAGTGGTTAGAGGGCTGGCCTCTGAGTGAGGACAACCTGGGTTCCAGTCCCATCTATGGCACAGAGGGTCTCCAGGTGCCCCAGACCACACCTGGCAGAGTGGGCACCGTTCTGCACTGGTAAAGGGATTCTCTGTCCGGGACCTCTCGACATGGAGGAAAACAAGTCTGATTTAAAAATTTAAAAAAAAAAAAAAAAAGCCAAACACTTGCTTTACTGTCTTCATAGGAATGTTTTGAGGAATCACTTTGTGACTCTAGAGTGCTAGAGAAACGGGAAGTATTATGACTAGGATTCAGCAAAAGAAGCTTGGGAGACAGAAGGTTCCCAAGTCATGTGTATTTAAAGGAACTTTCACGGTAAGTGACCCCACCCCACTGGGGAGGCCGGGGCTCTTTGCTCCCCACGAAAGGAACCAAATCCCAAGGGAGCCACGCCGTGGCCAACCCACGGCAGAGGTCCGTGTGCCCACCTCAGAGCATCCCTCCTGGGGCTCTGGGTCCTTCGCTGGGCTGCACCAGCCCCTCACTCGAGATGGAAGACAGCTGTTTTTGGCCCTGCTCTAGGGCTGGCTTGCCACGAGCTGCCATTTTCTGGATCTAGGGGTGCCGCTCTTGCTCTTGCCCCTACAAGTGCATGTCCTCTTGTTCCACTGCGTCTTCTTCTGGGGACGGAAGGTACTTCTCCTGGATTCCCAGTGTGCTAAGGGGCTGGGGTCAAGGGAAATAAGCCAGGCAAAGGGGTGGAGAGCAAATCTGATGGAGTTTCCCTCTCTATCCCACCAGAGCCCACCAGGCAGGGAACATGCAAGATCTGGCTCCTGTCCACCTATGTACAAAACCCCACAGGAGCAGAGAAGCCCCCTGCCACCAACCTTCTGAGCCAAAGCCCTTCTGGGGCTGAAGAATAAGAATCCTTTGGAAAACACAAGCTACTGAGTAGACCATTGCCACTGCATGCTACCCAGCTGGGCAACCTTCCTTTTCTTGGAGGAGGAGGGTCTGGCTGGCCTGAGGAGATGAAGACTTTGAGATTTATGGGGGCAGTAGAATGCTATGGATAAGCAGTGTGTCAAATGAACTTCACTTCAATGTAATAAGGCTTTCATGTAATGGCACTGGCTGGTGACTGTTCTGATGGCTTATGCCTCACTCCTCTATCATTCCCAAGGGCCGTCAAGGCCAGGTTTCAGCCTCCACAGGGACATGGGGGCGTGGGTCTTTCCTGGATAGCTCCTGCCTGGCTCCTAATGGCACCCCCAAGGTCCTGATAATCCTCATTGTCCACAGCCACACACGCTGCTGGTCTGGGTGACGTTTCTTTTCCCTACAACCTGGGGCATCCTATGTTTCTCCCCTCCTTTAGCCCCTCTGCCTCCTGCACACCTGACAAGCTCCTCTTGGGTTCTCCCCCGCCAGGCCTCTCCTACTCTGGAGTGGCTCCCTGCACCTCATTTCCTCAGTCCAAACACCACCCCTCAGGAAGCCTTCCTAAGGCTGCCCAAGGAAGCCCCTCCTTTGGCTGCCTCCCCACCTCGAGTTTCATGTTGCCCACACTCTTCCACACTCACCCACATTTTCCTGTGTCAGGTACCTGGGTCATACCTGGCACATCCCCTCCAAACTCCCATGGCCCTTTGCCTGGTACCTCCCTGATGTACCCAGCTTACTTGGCAAGAGACGATGTGGGGTCATGGAGAACTGGCCTCAATGCCAGGAAGGCCTGGGTTCCAGCCCAGTTTCTGACATACTGTGGTTGTAGGAGCCAAGGACACCAATGAAGCTTCCTCTCTCTAATCCGTGTGGGCACTTGGGTCCCCTCCTCATGTCTGAGTTCTGAGGATCAGGGCCATCCCTTAGCTGTCCTCTACCTCCCCTAGGATGTGGCTCAGTGCTCAGCACAGCATAGCACAGCACGGGTATTGTGTTTTGGTGAACAGCACTGAAAGGACAGACACCCCTGTGCCCAACCCCTGGAGGTCCTGGCCACCTCCCTCCTTCCCCCATGGAGGAAGACTGCTCAGACCCTCCCGCTCTCATCCTCTCCTACGACCCCCACTCTCCATGCCTCATGAAGTCACCAGTAACCATTCGACCCTCCCTAGACTGAGTCACTCAGCCCAGAGCCCTGGCAGGGATAAGCAAGGATACGAGGTAAAATGGAAGTCAGCCCCCACTGCGGTGGACATCATGGCCTCCAGACTCCGCTGCTCGGCCACCCCAAAGCAGTAGCCATTGGCTTTGTCCACGGCCTGTAGCACCCGTTGGACACTTTCCTTGTCCTGGAGAGAGAGGAGAGAAGAGAGATGGAAATGAAGACTGGAAGTCATGACACGGCCGCCCCCTTGACAGAATAAACTTTGCTAGAATGGCCTCTTCTCCCCACCCCATCTCATCCTATGTCATTCATGCTCACCCATTCCAAGGACTTCATTTTTTCTCCTAGTCCCCTCCGCTTAGACAAAGCTCAGGGGACAATCTGAACCATTTTCCTCCCATTCCTCTTCCTGTGTCTCACTTTTGTCTGCTCCCTGGCCTAGAAGTTAGGAGACCTAGGCATGAGCCCCAGCCCCACTACTTCTTGGCTATGTGACCTTGGGCAAAGCATTTCCTCTCTCTGGGTCTGTTTCCTCCTCTGCACTTGGTCTCTTCCAGCTCTAACACAGGAGACCCTGGGCTGGCTCTAGTCCTAGGCTGCATTCAACTTGGGCCTGGATTCTGATCATCAACAGAAAGCTCTCCTGGTAGAGGATGGACATGGGGACCGGCCTGGCCGGGGCAGCACCTTCTGCTGTCACTTTCATTGCTCGTGCTACTTCTTCCTTTGCAGTGTGGCAGGGATGCCTCTGAGCTACCAGGGGCTCCAGAGTGAGAAGCTATGGCTGGCCAATGGCAGGAAGGTTCCTGGTACCTGGATATTGAGAGGGATGAAAGAGACCAGGCTGTAGTCTTCAATCAGCTGCACCAGCTTCTCATTGAGCTGTCGGTAATGACGGAAGAAGGGGTCTGAGGCCAGGTGGTCAAGCAGATAGGAGAGGTCTAGGACCTCAGTGTAGTAGTCCAGGCTGAAGGCTGTGGAGAAAGGACAAGGCTTAGAAGCAGCATGATGGAGAGCCCGAGGTATAAGTTCATCCGGGAGACCAGAGTCCTGTGTCTATGCAGGCTAGTGTGGAATACAGGAAGCCCAACCATAAAAACAAACAAACAACATTCAGGGAATCAGACAGAGCTGGGAGAGACTTCAGCTCCAACAAGTATTAACTGATCAATGTGCCAGGCACTGGGCTAAGCACTGGAGAGACAAAGAAAAAGCAAAGTCAGTCCCTACCCACAAGCAGCTTACATTTTAAGGAAAGAGGCAGGCACACCATGAATAACTGAAAACACCTGTTACTAAAACGCTTATTTTCTTGGCTTGGCAGAAGGTCCTTCAGAATTCTGATCTTTCAGGGGTCACCCTTATAATTATCCATGATAATTTTACTGGTATGAAAGTACTGGTTAATATCAGTATCACTGCGTGACTTTGGGCAAATTCTCCCATCGTGCCTCAGTTTCCTCTTCTGCAAAATAAAGGGTTGCACCAACTGGCCTCTAAGGTCACCGCCAGCTCTACGTGTTCTCCCAGACAGCACATTCGTATTCTATGCTATGACTGAGACTTCCCTCTAATGTAAGCAGGAGGTGACACAGTGACTAATTCCATCCTATTGTTCTAAGCTCATCCTTTAAGCTTCAAAAGGTGTCAGGTTCAATATGTGGGGATATGTCAGCTAAGCTCCAAGGCACCCTCTCTACTGCTTTAAGACATTTCAGTCCCACCTTATATTGGTCTTCATTTGTTCTGAATTCAAGTTCCTTGAGTTTCTGAGCCTGCCCTCATGTAGCAGCCAATTTTCCAGTGCCTCCTCCCCTTCCTTTGGATCACTTAAACTGCCTTTTTCTAAACCTTCTCCATCTTGTTTATGTCTTGAGGGACAGATTCAAATTATTAACAACAGGATTCAAAGTACTGATGCTTTAGGTTTGGTACAAGTTGCTTAAAAGCAGGAGCCACATCAGCACCAGATTTAGCTGAGGCCAGACACGAAGCCATGTGTAGACAGTCTTATTCTATAGCTTCTGGCCAGAGTAGCGCCAGTCCCTGAGCATTTCCAAGCTCAAGGAGCCCTAGAATTGAGAAATAGAAGAGACCTTAGTGAGAATTTAGAGTAGTATCTTCATTTTAGAATGAGGAAACTTAAGGCCAGAGAAGGGAAGTGACTTGTCCAAGTTGATGGCAGGGCCAAGTAGAAATTGGATTTCCTTATTTCTGGCTGTGCTCTTCTCTACGCCATCCTTCTTTCAAACAACTAGGACTATATCCAGTGCCCTGGCAATTCAGGAATTTGCTAACATGGCTAGAAATACTGTTTAACAAGCCCTCTGGGATGGGATAGGAAGAACACTGCATTTGGAGTCAGAGCGAATCCTGGTTCTGCTACTTTCTGCTGGTGACACTTTGACCAGGGTACTCAGCCTCTCAGGACCTCAGTTTCCTTCGCTGTAAAATGAGGGAGTTGAACTAAATGGCCTCTGAGATCCCTTCCAGCTTAACCTAATTGCTCCTGTGGCTCTCCAGCCACCTCTTCACCCCCTTTGATTCAGCATCCACTGAGGTCTCTACTTCCTAGGTCTACCTGAAAACTAGCTGGAGCTGGTTATCATTTTCCTACCACTAAGCTCTACTCCCGTGTTTCCCAAACTTAACCTTCCATGAACCCTTACCTAGCTTCCCGAACTGCTCAATGAGGTCCATCTTGGAGAGGATGTTGACATGGGGCAGCTCCACATGCAGCATGGTGGACAGGGAGGTGCACAGCACAGAGATGAATTTGGCCGGATCTGTACAGTAGTGAGAATCCACTAGGTGGGCAGCAGTCAGCTGAGAGACAAGGTAAGGCAGAAAGGTCACAATTCAGGGCCTCTCCACGCCAAGAAGGACATTCATCATCTGCTTGGTTTTCCTAGGGAGTACCAAGATTTTAAAATGCTTTGGGACTTTACCATTCTCAGACTAAGCAGAAAAACCCTGAGGCTTGTCTCTATCATTAAACCAGGGGAATCCTAAAGACAGGGACTTTGTCTCACCCATCGGATTGCAGCTGCTTAGAGTGGAGGCCAGGGCAAATTAAAGAGAGCTCTGGATTTGATAGCAAAAATAGCTAGTGTTTACGTAGCTCTTTAAGGTTTGCAAAGTACTTTACAAATAACTCATTTCATCTTCACAACAACCTTGGGAGGTAGGTGCTATAATCAGCCCATTTTACAGATAAAGAAACAGGCAGACATATTTAATGACTTGCCAAGGGTCACATGGCTAGTAAGTGTATAAGGACAAATTTGAATTCAGGTCTTGCTGACTCCAGATCCAGCACTCTATTTACTATGTCACCTAGCTTCCTTAAAGAGAAGAGGATTCAAGTCCCCACTTCATAACTAGCCATATAACCCTGAGAAGTAACTTTCCCTCTTAGTCTTTGTTATTACCTTAGTAAAAACAAGCTGCTTGACCTATATGATTTCTAAGTGTTCTAATATGAACTGAATCTGCTTCCTCCCAATCTTGCTCCCATGCAGACTTCCTCATTCCCTCCGGGGCAATCTTAATAAATTAAACAAGCAAGGACTTATTAAATATGTGCCCTGCATTGTACTAGGTGCTAGGGATACAAAGATAACGTTAAGTAGTCCCTGCACTCACAAGAAGTTTACATTCTATCTATAGAAACAAGTCAAAAAAAGATACAAAATAAATACAAGATTTTAGGGAGGTGGAAGAGCCCGGAGAGGGGCCAGGGATCAGTAAAATCGTAGTGTCCGGGGTGGCATACAAACTGAACTTTGAAAGAGGATTTTGGCGGTAGAGACAAGGAGAGCATACATTTTTGGATTTTTATTTTCCAAAGAGTACCAAGAAAACATCCAGCCTCCTAAAACTTATGTCATAAACTCATTGCTTATTAATGCCAAAAAGGATCTCAGTCCTTAAAAGCCTTAAAATGCTTAATCTCAGGAGCAGACCATTCTTGCTTAAAATAATGATAATAATAAGGCTGAAAAAGTCCCTTAGGACTCTCGGAGCTGGAAGGGGCCTTAAGAGGTCATCTAGTCCAAACAATTCATTTTACAGCGGACAAAACTGAGCCTCGGTTGGGTCAGTGTAACCTGGGCGGGTTCACGTGGAGACTAATGGGCTCGAACACGCGTCTGGGGGGGGGGGCGGAAGCGGGGAGGCGCAGGGCAGAGAGCGCCCCCTGGGGCACACCCAGCAGCTCCCATCCCCGCAGCCACGAAGCACGTGCTCCTCCGGGGCCAGAGCCACATTTCCGGGGCGGGGCTCACCCGGAAGCCCCACTGGGCCAGCTGCGCGAAGACGCTGCGCAAGGCGCCGTGGTGTGTGCACAGCTCCACCTGGCCCGGGCAGTCGAAGAGCAGGTAGTGGCTGCGGAACGGTGCCAGGCGGTCGTGCAGCCAGTCCAGGTTGGCCTCCAGGTACTCCATGCAGTACACGAGGCCGCCGTTTGGCCCCAGCTTAAGCGCCTCCATCACGTCGGGGAGCGTCACCAGTTCGCCGATGTCCACGGCGCATGCGTACGGCGTGCCCTCGTTGGCCGGGTCTAGGTTGACCACGGCTACTCGCCGGCCCAGCCCGGCCAGGAAAGTGCTCATGCCCAAGCAGTACGTGGTCTTCCCCGAGCCCGGAGGCCCGATCACCGCCTGTCCAAAAGTCGTGGGGACGGCCGGGGCCGGGGCCGTAGCCGTGGCCATGGCTGTGATCGCGGCTCCGTCCCGTCAGGACAGCTCAAGACCACCCCCGTGAGGCAGCGACGTCCGATCGAAACTGGTCGAGCGCGCTTCCCGGAAGTCCCGCCTCCTCCGTAGATGACGTTTTGTGGCGCGTCCGCGTACGACGCATTTTAAAAGTGGCGCGCGGGCGCGGCAGCGGCGGTTGGAGGAGCTGGGGCGGGGAGTTTGGCTCGTCAATCTGCGGCATCTTTCTCTCTGCCTCGGAAAAGCCGCGGCCGAGGCTTAGTGACAGTTCTCAGCCCAGCTGCGGGCGTTCCTCGCCCCGGGGCCTGGCAGGCTGATCTCTACTCGGAGGCCCCGGGCTCTTGGGGAATATTCTCCAATCGCCTGCCTTGAGTTAGGGGGAGGGGCGGATAATTTGCGTGTTTCCAGATCTACGCTTTTGGGGGTGAATAGCACTTTGTAAAGCGTTTTCTTCCCGTCAGCCCCGAGAGAGGAAGTGTAGGAAGTCACCCTGAGGCCCGGAGCTCAAGTGAGCAGCTCGGAAGGCCTGCAGGCAGTGGCCTCAGGTAGGATTCAAATCCAGGTAGAAATCCAGCGCTCCTTCAGGCTACGTCGCACTGGGGTGTTTGTATGTTGGGCAGGTTCCCCGACAATCGTGTGACATGTTTACTATTTACAGGAACTGTGATACTATTGAAGTTACTTGAAGGCATGGACTGGCTTTTGATGTCACATCCTCTGTGTTAAGTCGTTTTTCAGTCACGTGCAGCTCTTTGTGACCCTGTTTGGGGTTTTCTTGGGAAAGATAATGGAGTGGTTTGCCATTTCCTTCTCCAGCTCTTTTTCCAGGTGAGGAAACTGAGGCAAACAGGGTGAAGTGACTAGCCCAGGGTCACACAGCTAGTAAGCGTCAGAGGCCAGATGAGTCTTCCTGACTCCAGGCCCGGCAGTAACTCCATCCACTTTGCCACCTAGCTGACTCTTATGGAGAACGTTTGTTTTAGTGAGTTTTCCTTTCATTCATGTAAGTCACAATCCTGTCACCTTGATAGATATCCTGAGTTGCTGTGGCTCCACAAAAATCTGACATGTGAGCCTCTTTACATGTGGCTAGACTGCCTAAGTCTTGGGGAGAACAGAGTCCAGAATTGGGCCCACACTCTTCCATGGTGAGTTGGGAGTCACCAGTAGCTACCTTTAGGAATCCCGGGTCAGTTTCCCAGGACAAATGGGAGTGGAATGTTAGCAGACACTTCCCTTAAGATAAAGCTGAGCTATTTGCCTCTACTCCCACAATTTTACATTGCATTTTTGGCCCTCTTTTTAAAAATAATCTTGATATCAGAGTAAACATTAAGCTGCTACTATGTGCTAAGCACTGGGAATACAAAAGAGGCAAAAGACAATTCCTGCCCTCAAGGAGCTCACAATTTAACGGGGGAAACAATGAACAAACATATATGGAAAAAAAAGTTCAATACAGGATAAATAGGAAATAAAATTAAGAGAGGAAAGGCATTAGAATTCATAGGGGTTGGGAAGGGCTTCTGCAGGGAAATGAGATTTTAGTTTGGACTTAAAGCCAGTACGTAGAAATGAGGGAGAGCATTCCAGGCATGGGAGACCGAGAAAATGCACAGAAGCTAGAGATAGTGTCTAGTTTGTCAAATAGCTAGGAGACCAATGTCACTAGTTTGAAGAGTATGAGGTGGGGAAGTTGTAAGACTGGAGAGGTGCAGGTTTTGGGGAGGAGGGAGATAGGTTATAAAGAGCTTTGAGTGCCAAACAGTGGATTTCATATTTGATCCTGGAGGTGATAGGAAGCCACCGGAGTTTTATTGAGTAGGAGGTGGGATGGCAAGGTTGGACCTGCAGGAAAATCACTTTAGTGGCCGAATGGAGGATGGATTGTTGTGAGGAGACTTGAGGCAGGCAGACCCACCAGCAGGTTATTGCACCTGGTGTGAGGTGATGAGGGCCTGCACCAGAGTGGTGGCTGTATGGGGGGAGGGGGCATATTTGAGAAATCCAGCAAAGGTGAAATTGACAAGCTTTGGCAACTTGGATATGGGGCGGGGTGAGAGATAGTGAGGAGTCTAGGATGATTCCTAGGTTGTGAGCCTGAGGGATGGGAAGATGGTGTTGCTCTCTATAGTAATATAAAGTAAGGTTGGGGATGGGGAATATTCAGTTTGAAATGCCTACTGGCCATCCAGTTTGAAGTGTATGAGAAGCAGTTGGGGATGGGAGATTGGAGGTTAGCAAAGAGATTGGGGCAGGATAGGTAGATTTGAGAATCATCAGTATAGAGATGATGCTTAAGTCCATGGCAGCTGATGAAATCACCAAGTGAAATAGTAGAGGGCCCAGAACCCTGTGGGATACCTCTGATTAGAGGGCTTGATCTGGATGAGGATCCTGCAAAAGGACACTAAGAAAGATCAGTCAGATACATAAGAGAACCAGTAAAGAGTGGTATCTTGAAAACCTGGAGAGAAGATAGTATCAGGGAAGGGAGAGTGATTAGCAGTGTTGAGGCTGCAGAGAGGTCAAGGAAATTGATGACTGAGAAAAGGCTGTTGGATTTGGCAACTTTGGCAATAGCAGTTTTGCTGGAATGATAAGGTCATAAGCCAGATTGTAAGGGTCAAGAGAGTGAGAGGAGAGAAAAATAGAGGCACCTGCTGTAGATGGCCCACAGAGGCAGTATGGTGTATTGGAAAACTGATATTCAAGCCCAGAAGACCTGTGTTCCAGTCTAGCTTCTGACCCAGCGGTTGTGGGACCCTGGACATTTAACCTCTCTGCTCCAGGCACCTCACTCTGTCAGAGAAGTTAACTGCCTGGTTGGTAGAGGAAGTTCCCCTCTGGGATCTTTTGAAAGCCCAGGTCCAGTCCCTATCCCTGCCCTTTTGCTCTTCCATCACTCATTTCTAGAAATGTCTACCCTCCCTCGTTTAGCCAGGTATATATTTCTGCCAAGCTTTAACAAAACGTTTATTAAGCAATTAGGTAAAGAGTTATACAATTAAGGATACTTCATTAAGGCCGAGCCACACACTTTAGCGGACCCACTTGGAGATTGTTTTGGGATTTTTTTCTTAAGTGAGACCAAAGGGAGAGGAGAGGGATTGGCAAATTAAAGTGTAACAGGAACAATTAGGCCTAACCAATGGTAGATGGTTTTGCTTAAACATTTTTTAATGTCAGGAACTATTGTGGAGGAGGTTGTTTCTTGGGAAGTGATTGTCAACACAAATTATCAAGAATAAAGGTGACACATGTTAAGCCTTCAGTATTCATATTATAGGCTGAATGCTGCTTTCTTGAAATTCATTTTGTGCTCTCAAAATCAGTCAACACCTAACCCTACCATAACTGCCACGTTCTCCAATGGTAATTGTTTGGCAGCTTTTCCTACAAGAAGCCTGAATTCCTCTTTGTCACTTCTACCCAGTGGCTCATGTGGGCTGAAGCAGGACAAATGTGACAGAGGCTTGAAAACAGTCCCCATGTCCCACCCACCCTGTTTTTTTTCCAGGCTAAACCTTCCCTGTTCCTTCAGCCAGTTCTCCTTTGGAGTGGTGTCTAGTCCCCCATGTTGTCAAGATCCTTCCTAAAATGTGTTGCACAGGATGGAACAGGTTCCGCAGGAAAAGTGCAAGAGTACTATTGACCTGGCTTGTCCTGGCAGGATTCTTCTCCTATGGGAGCCCTTTTGTAACACTGAGTTTACTCAGTCCCCCTAGGTCTTTTTCACATGAGCTGCCCTCTCCCTATATTTCCACCATTCTGTATTTTTGCAGTTTATTGAACCTAAGTGTAGGACTCAACATCTATCCTGATTAAATTTCACTTCAGAATTGGCCCATCATTCTAACAAGCTTGCTGGAATGATAAGGTCATAAGCCAGATTGTAAGGGTTAAGAGAGTGAGAGGAGAGAAAAATAGAGGCACCTGCTGTAGATGGCCCACAGAGGCAGTATGGTGTATTGGAAGACTGATATTCAAGCCCAGAAGACCTGTGTTCCAGTCTAGCTTCTGATCCAGCGGTTGTGGGACCCTGGACATTTAACCTCTCTGCTCCAGGCACCTCACTTTGTCAGAGAGGTTAACTGCCTGGTTGGTAGAAGAAGTTAGCACACATGAACCAGTAGCCAGTAGGGCCTAGCATCTATTTTGAGACTGACCACTGCTTGTTGTCATGCCAGCATGGTTCAGTTAGTAATTATAATTGAAATAGAATGTAAGCACATAACTAAACTTCCAACTAAACTTCATGTGACTTAACATGAGACAAAAATTTGACACTTTATTTTGGGATATTACTGTCCCAGGATAATATCTTCAAGAAATTAATTTGTGTTTGCTGGAATATCCACACCCTCAATGAATTTTTCTTTCTGGGACCTTGGAATCTCATTGATTCTAGCTGTTTAAGAACTAATGAAGATCCATGCCCAATTCAGATGAAAATGTTGGTTTGTTAATTTACTTCCTCCTGGAAAGTAGAATATTAAAATCAAAATGGCATCCTTTTTCTGTCTATACATTCCTTAGATTTCAAACAAACACATTAAGCATATACTAAGAATCACCACGATTTGGCACAAGAAAGGTACAAATTACATGTCATATCTCCTTATGAAGCAATCTAATATAGTTTTAAACTTACAGAATGTAAAAAAAAAATCATTGTAATAACTTGCTATCCAGTTCCTGACTACCTTGCCTTACAGAATTCTTTGGTTCCCTTAGTCATGTGTTTTGGTGTATACAGTCCCCTCTAACTTCATTTACCATTGGGTGAGCCAGTAAATGTGCTATTTGTTAACCAATAAAAAAAAAAAAAGAACTAATGAGGGGTAAGATAGGGTTGAAGACTGTTAATTAGAAGCTGTGGGGAGAGGCAGGTAGGTTCCCTCCTCAAGGATGGAAAACAACTTGGTTATACAAACAAAAACTTTATTCTGCTATGGCTCCCTCTGCTCTTCACAGAAGGGAGCAAGTGGAATGGCCTCAGTCTGCCATGCCCTCTCCCCTTCTATCTGGCCAGCACAGCTATTGCTGTGCAGTAAATCTCAAGGGAAAAGATGGCCTGGTCTTGGCCAATGACACCCTGCTTCAGAGGGCAAGGAGATAAGGCCAAAACTGAAACCCGTGTCCTAGGGAAGAGCCCAGGCCAAAACTGTTTGGTCTTGAGATAAAGAGGTTAAAATCATAAGGAGAGACCACCAGGCTTGAACAGTGTAACAGAAACAGTGCTTTGTGAAAAAAACATCACTGGCCTTGAGGTAGCAGATGGGAAGGAAGAGAAGTGACTGGCCCCAGGGTCTGTCCAACCCATTCTCTTCTCTAGGAAAGTCTGGGTCCTGGAGCCAGGCCCCCACTTTGGCTTCAAGAACAGAAAGAGCAGAGAGATGCTGTGATCCTCCCACCACATGTGGAGTTCCTGTCCCAGTCACTCGGGCTCCAGTGAGCTGTGGGAAAAGCTGTCTGTGCCTGAGCCTCTCACAAAGGTCGTCATATCTGCCCGGAACTTCAGGCTGGTAGGTGGCTGGCGTCGAAGCAGAAGGTCACCCTGGTCCTGAGCAAGGGGTTCATCATAGATGGTGGAGATAAGCCCCAGGCTGGTCCCACATGGCCTCTTTGGCTGTCCAAAAGACTGCAGTTTCTCTCCATGGTACCTGAGAGAGTGAGACCCTTAGTGAGGTCTTAATGAAACTAGGTAATCTCCTGCTTCCCTGTCATAAGTAGAGGGGCATGGGAAGAAGACCCCAACATTTGTCTCAAGCCAAAGGCATAACAGAATAAATCAAAATCACGTGGACGAATCCCTGTCATCTGTGCTCCTGGTGCTGTCCCCAAGATGCTGTCAATGAGGCCACACAAGATAAGCCAGGGCATCCCAACATTTGCATTTCATTACAAAGTCAACACCACTTTTGTCCACAGGCGCAGTAGCCCATAGAACACGAAATATAAAAGAAAAGCAGCCACAGAACATCCCAGGTCTGTTTCTCCCCAATCTGAACTACCATGAAAAAGATGAGCTGAATGAATAACAAAAAAGAGCAGTGCCCATTTCTGTTTTCTCCCCAGCAGTCCTGTGAGGTAGGTAGAGCAGGTATCATTTTACAGATGAGAAAACAGACCTCGAGAAGTCAACTTCCAAGAGGTCACGGAGTCAGGTAGCTGTCAACTCAAATCCAGGTCATGTGACTCTTAAGTTTGGTGCTGTTCTCACTCCGGTCCCCCTACCATCCCCCTAGTAAATGAAGACCTGCTGCCACCATGACCAGCTCATTAGTGAGGGACTGAAGGGTGTGTGTGTGGCCTTCTGCCTTTTCTTCCCTAAAGCCCCTTAAGCCTAGGCATCTGACTGGACCCGGATGGGGGTAGCAAGGTGACCGTTTGTGGCAGAACCATGGCCAAGACAGCATCAGTCCAGTCACTCTGACTCTGTCATTGTTTATCTTTTCAAATCTGTCCAGAAACTCCACCTACAGGAACCCTCCAAGACAAGGAAGCCCACTAGCTCCCGAATCAGCAAGCCCAAACCAGGGCCGTGATTCCCAAGCCAAGCTGATGGAGGGAGGTGGGGAATTCTCGAGAGCTAGGAAGGCTGGGAGCTGGACAAGCTGGCTTTGTTGCAAAGAATGACCCTCAACCACACTTACCCTAGTCCACGCTTACACCTGGGGTTCTGCCCATCACTGTCCAGGGCCTCAGTCACTCCTGAGCAGCTACTGCCCAGTCCCTGACCCTCAGCCCAGCCTTGTCGCTCCATCACCTTCCTTCCGATACCCTGGAGAGGAAAGAGCAGGAGTCAAGGAAGGGCTTCCCAGGTGGAAATGGGAGGAAGTGCAAAGTGGACAAGAGGGAGCTGAACCGTGGGGTAGACATGAGGCTCACCTTTGTGTGACGCTCAAAGGTGCCAACTTGGTGCCTGACCACAGAGCCATCCTCCAGGCCATCGCGTAGTCTCTGTTCCAAGCGCATCTGGACTGAGTCACGAGCATCCTTGTCTCCGCTGTCTGAGAAGTCAGAGCCCAGTTTAGGAAGAGGCTAAAGTCCAGTCAAAGGTGCATTCAGTACAGGAGAGGCAGGGGACTGAAGGCTTCCATAGCACCCAGTCAGGGCTAGATTTCTTTCATTTTGGTTTCTGTTGCATATCTGTGACCTCTTCTTGATTAGACCAGCAAGCTCCCTGAGTACAGGGAGTGTCTCACTTCTTTCTCCTTCAGACCAGGCTATACTAAATAACAGGGACTGTGTATCCTCCTCAGTCTATATGGGCTTCCTGAGAGTTGAAGCTATATTTTCCCATCAGACTTGGGCTCCCTCCAGGGAGTGATTGTGTCTGTAACCAGACCAGAAATTCCCAGAGGCCAAGGGAACAGTTCTACCAAACTAAGGGCTTTTCAGGCCTTAGTGTATCTACTTCTCAGAATAGGAGTAATTCCCAAAGATGGGACCATTGCCACTCTATAAGAATGAGATTTGGGACTGTTCGTCTTTCCTCCTTCTGCCTCTACTTCCTTGCTCTCCAAAGGGTATTTATTTTACAAATGGAAAGATTAAAAACCAAGAAAATCATAAAAAGGGGACCCTTGCTGGGTTATTCACCAACCATGGGGGGAAAGGGACAGCCTCCAGCTCCAGACTTGCTCCCTCCCCAATCCCATCCCACACTACATAGGGCAGGGAATTGGACTGGGGCGAGGGAGGGCAAGGAGGACTGCAAATCACCCAAGAACAAGGTCACTTATACCCCAGAGCCCTGCCTGGCCAATTACCTTCTTCATAGTATATGCTCATATCCACATCCCAGTCATCAGCTGTTTGCTCATCAAAATCTGTAGGGACAAGACAAATGAATACATCTTCAATTTCCATGACTTTCCATAGGTTGCTCCTTATACCTCGAATGCATGCCCTCTGCCTCTCAGAATGCTTGACCTTTTTTGGGGGGGGGGGATATGTGTGCTATTTAAGAAAAAGTTTACTGATGCTTTAAAACAAAATCTATCATGATTTCCCAATCACCACCCCCAGCCCTGAAGAGAAGCCTTCCTTGAAATAAAGCTAAGCAAAACAAACAGATGCACTGACCATGTCTGTGAACATATCCTATTCCATACCTACAGCCATTCCATACCTACCAAGAGGAGCAAGGCATGTTTCACCATTGGTCATCTGGTGGTTGTACATTGTTGCAGTCACTGTGCAGATTGTTTTCCTACTCTGCTTGCTTCATTTTGTATCCATTTATACATGGTGGCCCAACTCTGAATTACTCATATTTTTGGCTTCTTACAGTGCAATAATAATGTATTATATATCCATACACCATGATTTGTACAGAAATTTCCCAACTGAAGGGCACCCACTTTATTTCTACTACTTTGCTACCATAAAAGAGCTGCTATAAATATTTTGGTACCTCTGGGTCCTTTTCATGTCTTTGCCTTTCTTGGGGTAATGCTCAATTTTTTTCTAGAATGGTTGAAACAACTGAAACAATTCATAGTTCCAGCAACAATGTGCCTGCCTTCCTAAAGCCCCTCTGACATTTTCCAGTTTTGTTTTCTGTCACTGTTGCCAATCTGATAGGTGCAAATCAAAACCAATTTGTGTTTCTCATATTACTAGATTTGAAGCATTTTTTATATGGTTGCAAGTTTGCCTTGTTTTTCTTTTTGCAAAAATTTGAAAACAAATCACATGCCCAACAATTTGAGAATAGCTGAATAAATTGTAACATATGAATGTTATGAAATATTACTGCATTGTAAGTAATGATAAATATGAATTCAAAGAAAAATGAGAAGACTTGTAGAAAGTGATACAGAATGACAAAAGCAGTACCAAAAGAAGATACATGCTTACTTCAACTATACATCAAATGGCAACAAAACTCTGGTCAAATACAGTGGACAATGTTGATACTAAGTTGTTAATTTCAGAGCACAAACAATAAATTACAAAGTTAAAGGGTTGCAGAGTCCTGTAGCAGATACATACAGATGTCCTCATACTGAGCTGCCTCTGAGATCCTTGAACAATCAATATTCAGAGAAAGAGCAGGACCCAAGAATAGAAGGCAGTATCAAAACTCAGCCCAGACATTCCTCCAGAAATACATAACTAGGCCTTGACACCAAAATCCCAATTCAGTAAATAATGCTAGAACAATGAATAAAACAAATAAAAAGACTCACACTAAAAAAACTATAATAGAGATGCCCAAAACACAAACCCAGAAGAAGAGGATGAGTCTAAAACATCTACATGCAAAGCCTCAAAGAAAAAAGCCCAGACATAGGATAAATTAGAATTCCTAAAAGAAATTAGGTAAGAGATTTTTTTAAAAAAAGGGTTAAAATGATTGTATAAATGAAATAAGAGAGTGCTAGAGCAAAGAAATGGAAAAGAAATGAGAGCTCTGGAGGAAACACCTGGAAGGAGAAATAACTGCTCAGTCCAAGAAGTTCAAAACCTTACCCAAGTAATAGACTTTATGAAAATTAGAATGAACCAAACAGAAGTTAATGATTCCCTTAGACAACAAGACATGTTAAAGTCAAAAGACTGAAAAAATTAGAAGGAAATGTAAAGTTTCATATGAATAACAATCTACTTGGAAACCAGACTGAGACATAATTTAGGAATCACTGGACTACCACAAAACTGTGACATACACCCCATCCTTGCCCCAAACCAGCCTGAATATAATATTTCAAGAAGTCATGAAACTGCCTAGATCTATTAGAACCAAAGAGCAACATGAAAACAGAATTGTCTCCTGAAAGAAACCCTCCATAGGAAAACTCCCAGGAATATCACAGCCAAAATCCAGAGCTTCCAGATCAAAGAAAAAAATAGTGCTAGCAGCCTCAAGTACTACAACCTCCATAAGAGAGTAGAGATTTTGGAATAGGGTATTCCAAAAGGGAAAAGATAATATCTTACAAGCAAGAATAACTTAATTATCAAAAGTGGGTATAATCCTACAGGGGGAAAAGTAGACCTTTAATGAAATAGAAGACTTCCAAGCATTCCTGAAAAGACCAGAGCTGCATGAAAACTTCGAAACAGGAACACGAGAGCCAAGAGACACCTAAATACAGATCAAATGCTTGCATTCTAATGGGAAAGATGGCACAAGTATCTCCTCAGAACTCTAATGTTATCAGGAAGCCGAGAAAGAATTCCACAAAAAAAAAAGCCCTGGGAATGGTTTTGTCATATTTTGATGATCTTGAAAGAAGAAAGGAAAGAGAGAGGAAAAAGGGATATGATACCAAAGAGACTCCTATCTGCACTGATGGAGGGAGTCTGCCCACATAAATGAAATCACAGGTCTAAACCAAAAAAGGATGATTTTACACTCTTGCTTAGTGGTATTCAAGACTATACAGTCATGCATGTTTGTGTCTTTTTTTTTTTTTTAGGCTGGCCTACTATGCCCAAACAAAATGTATTTAAAAAGTAAAATGCAAGTAATCGACCTCACATGATGGTTGTAAGTGTGTAATGAAAATGTATTGAAAAGAATCCTCCAACATGACAAAACAGGAAAATGATAAATGTTGGAGAAGATGTGGGAAAACTGAAACACTAATGCATTGTTGGTGGACTTGTGAAATCATCCAACCATTATGGAGAGCAATTTGGAACTATGTCCAAAGGGCTATAAAAATGTGCATACCCTTTGACCCAG